CTCTGCCCTCCTATGGTTCTTGTACTGTTAGTAAGATGTTTGCAGAAGTCCTGGGCATTATGTTGACAGGAAGTTACCCAGAAAAAGAAAAAGAAGTGCTTTTACTTCTGTCTTTGCCCAGAAACTGCGCAAAAGTCATCCCCTGTGTCACTGGCCAGAATTAGGTCACAGGGTCATTTTTAAGCCAACCATGCTAGTGGAAAATGATTGCCCTTCATGTTTAGCGTCACATCTATTCCTGGAGCTGTAGATGATGTCAGCTTTCTCTGAATCACACAGGAGACTTTGATTTGGAAACTTAAACAAAATTTAGGTCCCATGAGGAAGAATGTATGAATGGCTGAGTAACCAATATAGTCCATTACCTATTAGTTGACTGCCTACCAAAGAAGATGGTTGAAACTTGTATATGAAGTTTGAATGATCAACATATTAAACATATATTCTTTAAAAACTGTATCATCAAAATGAACTTAGTCACTAAAGAGTGAGCTTGATGGTATCAACGTTCCATAACATATAAGCTATTTATTTTACTATCTCTATATAGTTACACATCAATGAAATTTGAAACTTGACATGTGGGAATGAGGTAATCTGGAGGAAAAGGTTTTTAAGGGTTCTTTGTAGAAAGTCTGTGTTTGTTTTATCTGCTGATAAGGACATACTTATGATTCCAACTAAACTACTCTGCTTTATTCATGCTTCTGTTTGAAGAAATAAAATGTGATAGGGGTGCTTTAAATCAATAGATTCAGCTCTCAGGGACAGGATGAAAATGTCTTATGAAACTATTTTGATGCTTTATTAAATTAAAAATGTATTCATTCATTTGTAGAACTTTGGGCACCACGTACATCCTGAGTACTGGGAAGAGTGTGTTGGGAACAAAAGCATTTTCAGTCCTCCAGGAACCTGCAATCTATCATACAGGATGATGATGAAAAAATAATTAAAAGCATGGTAAATGTGATGAAAGGAAAAAGTACAAGGTGCGTGGATATGGGCTGGTATGGAAGGTTAACATAGTCAGGGAAGGATTTGATAAGAAAATGTTTAAATGGAGACCTGAAATGTAAGTAAGACTCACTAGAAGAAGGAAGATTTAGGGAGAAAGTATTCCAGGCATTTGAAAATCATAAAGCATGAAGACAAACAAAAATTGCTGACCAGTAGTGAGCAAGGAGGTGTGTAAGAAGAGGTGGAACTAAAGAGGCAGGGTGAAGTTGGAAGGACACTTGGTGGAGAGTTGGCTTTTATGGAAATGTCAATTGGAAGTCATTGAATAGTTTGAAATACAAGGGGAACACAATCAGATTTTCTGTTGAAAAATACCCTTCCAACTGCCATGTAGAGAATGGATTGGAGGCGACACTACTTTTCGGATATGGTCCAAAAACAGCTCAATTTCATCTTTTTTTTTTCATAAAGTGAATAAAATTAAAATAAGATTTTGTCTGTTTTCCATATAGTAAATAATATTTTTAACAAATGATCTTTTTTTTCCCAGTAGTTGCTTAATCTCTCCTTCATAGGGAAGGTTTAACTCAAAGGGAGGAAATGAAGCAGAAACAACTTTAGACACCATAAGCTTGGCACTAGTCCAATGCATGTTGTTTAAGTATATTCACAAACAGCTACAAAATATTTAAGTATAATAATATAACTTTCCTGAGAATTCTATTATCATAATTGGCCAGAATTAAAATGAATATAAGTATTGTAAATAAATTATATAGACAACATTTAAAAATCTATTAAGAATAATACAATGAAGCATCTAACTTGGAAAATAAAACATTACCAAGTGGCATTTGTTTTCAACGAAAATTTTACATTCGATATTGAGGCACTGATTCCTCAATTTTTATTTAAATGGGAATACATCTCATATTTACTTAATTTTGCAAAAATTGTTTTACTAGAGGTGTTTTATAGGATGGAAATTTTTTTATATTTAAAATAATTTACACACATAGTATCAAGAAGATTTATAATCAGTAAAGCAGCACAGAACATACATTATGTTCTAGACATAAAAGCAGAAGATTTTGTGGCTGCCATTAGAAATAATTAAGTCTTGGGTCAGACATGGTGGCTTAGGCCTGTAATCCTAGCACTTTGGGATGCCGACGTCAGTGGATCACCTAAGGTCAGGAGTTCGAGACCAGCCTGGCCAACATACTGAAACCCCATATCTACTAAAAATACAAAAATTAGCTAGGTGTGGTAGCAGGCCCCTGTAATCCCATCTACTCAGGAGGCTGAGGCAGAAGAATCAGTTGAACCCAGGAGGTGGAGGTTGCAGTGAGCCTATATCATGCCCCTTCACTCCAGCCTGGTTGATGGAGCTATACTGTCTCCAAAAAACAAAACAAAATAAAAAAGAAATAATTAAGTCTCATACACATAAAAACTAGAATGGAAAGATTTTAAATTGAACTATAGCTTTGTTAAGAGTGTTTTTTAATAAGATTTTGCAAAATAAATTTAAAAGCTTGATTATAAAATAATTCAAATCCTTTAAAATCTTCCATAAACAAACTGGAACCTCCAATTGTTCATATAAAACATGAACGACCCTGTCAGTACAAAAGAATTAAAAAATTAGCTATGCATGGGAGTGCGTGCCTGTGGTCCCAGCTACATGGGAGGCTCTGAGGTGGGAGGTTTCCTTGAACTTGGGAGATCAAGGCTACAGTAAGCCATGATTTTGCCACTGCACTCCAGCCTGGGTGACAAAGCAAGCACCTGTCTCAAAAAATAAAATCAAATATAAAAAATTGAAATTCAATGAAACCTTGTCTCAGTTGATAACACTTTGCAAGAACTACTTTTAGAAAAATATTGGCAGTTTAATGTTTGAATTTGTGGAAATCCATTCATTATGCAATTAAATATTTTTGACTTTCCAAAAAAAAATGAACAATATGTAAATATGTAAAACAATATGCCTAACAAGCTTTCTAGACAGCACATGATTCGTAACTGCATTTGTATATTCCGAAGCCTTTGGAGTACATTTAAATTATTTTAAATGTAAATTTAGTTTAGTGTTAAGTCAAAAATATTTAACCAAAATGTATAACTATCATAGTAGTTCAAATTCAGTGTGTTTTAACAAAAACTCTTTCTCAAAACATATAATCATTACAACCAAAATAAATTAGTTTTGTATTTGTCTAAATTCAATCCAGTGTTTTTCCTGTAATGATTTTAAGCACTAATGCAAGAGAGAAGGTCCACAAAATATCTGCCACTTTATTTTGCATTAATTTGTTTCTTGCATATTTGAGAAAATACATTCAAAATTGAACAAAGTTCAGTCTTCAATGTAAATAAAAAACCAATTGTATTCAAATTGTAAATCTGCGTATTATCTGCAGTACTAGAGTAACATAACTCTGAGAATCAAGTACTCATAGATACTAAGGTCACTGTCAAGACAATCTATATCAATATTGTTCCCTTAATATCAAATGTTGCTGAGATGTTCATATGCCCACCTACAAAAGGAATTATATGTGACTTTCGGTGCATCATTTGAAGAAAGTTTGGTTTTGGTCTTATGACAATGTGAAGAGGTAGATACGGAACGTGAGGCATAGGTTTTACATTTCCCTGAGTTGTCACAAGGATCTGCTGATACAATTTGGCATCATTCATGGTGCCAATAATCTCTGTGTGCATTTCAGAGACAAAACATTTAGCCACTCTTAAAGGGATGTAGTAATTGTGAAAAGGAAGATGTTGTGTAAGGTCACTATGCATGGAGATCTTCTGCTTCTCCAATGAGTTCTCATCAGAAAGTGCCTTCTCTTAGTTCCTGGGCTCTGAAGATAGCAGGTCGAGAGCCACACCAAGGCTTTCTAACTGCCTCATTGTGTGCACCCAGGAAAGCATGTTTGATTAACCTGAATTATGAATTGTTGATATAGCATTGTTTGATAATTTTCATAGAATTGCTTGAGAGGGTTATGTCTTCTTTGGTTGAATCAGAAATAGGGTAAAGCTCAAGATTTATTTGTAAAGTTACATCAATGTGATTCTATTTTAGGGAACTTTGGAAGTTAGTTTGAAGGCAACATTTTCGATCAAGTGTCAGTTTCCAACCTTACGAATGAAATAACTCTTGCCCAGTACTTGTAAGCCATATACTATGTTAGAAATAGTCACATTGTTTTTACTGTATAGTGAACATAAAGAACATAACGACCTTTCCCAAAATAAAATTTGAAAAACTATTTAATCTGCTGTTCAATTTAATGAGATTTACCTAAGATGCCTAACTCCAAGTTATTATTACATTTTTAATAAGACAACCCTTTCCTCATTTTTTTGCTCTTTCCATGAGCTAAGTGCAATCTGAATGAACAATATTCAATAACAACAAAACAACCATTAAGTTTTTCCATGAGATGTTTCAGGAATGAAAGAATTCATTTTTGATCATTTGCCAACATAGGGCTATCTGATCCTGGGAAGCTTTCTCTGTTCATTTAATGCCTTGTATAACTATTTACCTTTTTCCTCAAAATCTAACCCAGTCTCAATCTTAAAATAATTCTTATCTTTTACTTAACAGAAAAAGCAGAAGCCATTATTAAACAGGTTTTAACTAACTCACCTTCCTACTTCCATTGCTCCAGCCATAGATGGACTTGCATTTATTGTCGATGCTGACTCTCCCAGGAAAGTCTCTCCAATTTTGCTCTGAATCCACTCACTTGTAACCTTCTCAGACACTGCACCTTATCCATGGCCCTTTCTCCTACACGCTTATCTCTCTTTACACTTAAAAGCGCTTAAATACAATGCAGACTCTATTATAATGAAAGCAAAAAGCCCATTTCTTTGGCTCTACCTATTCATCTACCAAATTTCTAGGCCAGAGATTCTCAAACATTTTGGTCTCAGAAATACTTTCCATCCCTAAAAATTACTAAAGGTCCCAAAAGATCTTTTGTTTGTGAGGGTTATAGTCATTGATATTTACTGTATTCAAACTTAAAACAGATATTTAAATAAAATTTATTCATTTTAAAATAACAATGCTAACATGGTAACATCAATAACATAGCCAAAATAACTATATTTTTATAACAAAACATTTAGTAAAAAGAATGGCAAATTTCTTTAATATTTGGGTTAACAGGACACTGCTATGCTCATATCTTCTGTGTTTAATTCCTTGTGGGGTTTTTGAAGTATATGAAGAAATCTAGCCTCATACAAATATGTAACAACAACAACAACAAAAAAACTAGACAGGATTATTTTAACAGCCTTTTCAGATCATTGTGGATAGTCTTCTTTGATGACATACCAAAATTTGAAAAGTGAGTTTCGGAAGGGTTACTTGTGATGTGAAATCTGTATTTGGTACTCTGTTGCATTAAAATCCATTCATGTATATAGCACTTTGAGTGGATCTTTCACATCATTTTGTAACTTTGTGCATTGAAAGTTTCTAATATATTGACTCAGGTATGTACGGCTTCCAAATATATGCTGGAAAATTCCCCCACATACTCATGGGATAATGAGAGTTGAAAAAAGGCAAATAACACTTTAATATTAGTATAAAATTAAGTTTGATTATTTCTAGACTATAGGGCCTAAAGATTAAGAGAGCAGGATCTGGTGTGAGACTAATATGTACAACTATAAGCTCTGCCCACCTTAAGAAAGATACAGGCCTCCTTTTATCATGGGTATAATAAAATACCTACATCATTAGAACTGTTATGTCGAGATGACATCATACATGTAACATAATGGCACACAGTAAATGAAAAAGAATGATATATATATATATATATATATATATATTAACATTTCCTTTTAGTTCTGATTTTTCTCCTGTGCTTTCAATTTATATTCATGTTGTCTACCTTTACTTTGTCCTCCCTTCTGGCGTCTCACATTCAGGGTGTTTGTGTCCTTAGGTCCTGATGAAGAAAACATTCAGGTTAGAGTCTTCGGCTAAATCCAAATTGGACCAGGAGACAAGCTCATTCACGCTTTTTAAGAAGTAAGAAAATTTCTAGAAAGTGGAAAGCAAAGCAAATTGAGTTCTTTAATCCCAGGATCCAGAAGTTTCACATATAAGGATATGACTTACCAAGAGAAATCTCTAACTATGTATAGGGCCTCCTTGAGCATATCTGTGATAGGAAGCAGTTCCTCCTTCAGGCTGCTTGAGTTAATGGAACATTTGGGAAGAGCATGTTAGCCTGAGAGAATAGTTGCATTTAGCTCCAGGACCACAGAAAAAAATAGCTGACTTCAGTCATTTTTAAGAAGTCTGGCTCAAGTTGGATTCAAATATCCTGTTTTGGTTACTATTGCTGTGTAACAAATCACCCCAAAATCTGGCAGTGCCACTTACAACCACCATTTTATTAAGCTCACAGAGTCTGGCCTCAGGAATTCAGAAAATGCACAGTAAAAACAGCTTCACCCTGCTTCTCCTTGTCTGTGGCATCAGCCAGGAAGATTCAAAGGCCGAGCAAAAACTGAAAGAGCTGGAATCAGCTGAAGGCTCATTCACTCATGGTGGGGCTCAGTGCCTATGCATAGTCTCTCCAGGGAGCCTGAGCTAATTCACAGCAGACAGCTTCAAGGTGTTCAGGCTTTACATGGTGGCTTAGAGCTCCAACAGTGAGTGTCCCAGGAACAAGCTTGAAACTGCACTGCCATTCATATCTTAGCTTCATAAGCCACACTGTCGTTTCCATCACGCTCACCTGGTTGAAACAGTCACAATCACAAGACTAGCTATATTCAAGGGGAGGGAACAAAGACCCCCATCTCTCGCTAGGAGTAGTGTCAAATAATTTTTGGCCATGGTTTAAAACTGCCTGAGTTCCAGACAAGAAAACTATTAATTGGAGTTCAATGTAAAGAACAATTTAATCCTCTGAGCATGGACCCAGGGCTTCAGAACAAACAGAAACAACAAAAGGTTTCCAAGTCCAGGGAGTAAGAGGTTAACTTGGATGTTTCATGACTTGGCTGGCTTGGGCTGGAAAAGCATGAGTTTCTTGGGTAGTAGAGCTGGATAAGAAGAGACTGAATGTGGAAGCTTGGCAAGGAAATTGGAGAGTAGAGAATAAAGAAAACAAAATCACTTATAATCCAACTCCCCAGAAGCAACCAGTTTTTACATTCTGATGTGTTTTAGTGTTGTCTGCATATATGTATATTTATGATTTATGCTGCATGTATGTGTATATAAACAAAAAGCATCATGCATGTGAAGCAACATTGCAATCATAGCACGTAATAAATTTTATGTCCTATCTTTCAACTCAAGAATTGGCTTACTTCTCATTAGCATCCCACTCTGAAGAGATTTACATTTCAGTTCTGTTCACTTCTGCTAAATCAGCTAAGTTAGTCCTTACAGAGTTCCTCTGTGCCTAAGTTTCTCTGTCCATTGCCAACAACCTGCCACTGAGTCTTTGTTGCTATTGCTTTTTAAGTTTTTGCCAATATGAAAAGGACTTTCCAATCAAGAAAGGAACAAAGTCATTAATTACTCCTGTCCATAAACCTAAGGGGCCAAAGCCTCTAATATATTAAATAACAAAGTTTCTTCTGCACTATAAAGCAGACTCTGCCATGCACCATGCACCCTTCCTGGTGCAGCAGCAACAGCAGCAGCAAAGATTACAAACACACAAAAACAGAACTGCTACTGCAACCATTGCTCATCCCTTCCAGAAACATTGAGAAGGCTCCAGGTTACATATTTGGCCACCTAAGGTCTTACCTGGTTTTCTCCTTGTAACAAATGCCTAAAAACAATATAATTGACTCCCATTCCCTCAACTGGTACCTTCATTTACCAGCAACCACTTTTTATGAGCTAGAAAAGAGGCCAATTAACAGCTCCCAAGCTTGCTGTGCTGACTTCGGAGACAATTACTTCATCCCTCACTTGAGGTTCTGAAAGCAGGAACTACAGAACAACTTGGTGAGGAGAAAAATTATTCCCAGATTTTTATAAGAGGACAAAACTTTAGCCAGGAGTTAAATGTCTCTTGCTGAAAGGCTTAGAAGAGCATAAGAAGAGGGAGTCAAGCTGAATATAGAACATATCGCATTTTTAAACAAAAATGTCTTTCTTTTTTCCTTATGGCCAATGGATATTTTCAAATAACTAGTGTCTGCTTTAAAGTAGCTATCATGACTGGGAACACAATAATTCTAATTCTAATGATGCTATTCTTATCCATGCTCTTTTTCTTTTTCTTTAACTTTTTAAATTATTATTATACCTTAAGTTCTGGGATACATGTGCAGAATGTGCAGGTTTGTTACATAGGTATACACGTGCCATGGTGGTTTGCTGCATCCATCAACCCGTCAACTACATTAGGCATTTCTCCTAATGCTATCCCTCCCCTACTCCCTCCACACCCTGACAGGCCCTATATCCACACTCTTTTAAACGTATCATTTGAAGTTATCTTTATAGAAACCATCATATTATTTTGCTTACACTCAATGGCATTTATTCAATATTTATTTAGTCCCTACTTCTTGTTAGTTACTGTTATAGGCAGTGAGGATATAAGGTAAACATAACATGCAATATTTCCAGCTTTTCAGAACTTATAAACAAGAAAACAAATTATATTTCTTTTTTTATATATAAGTTACTGAGGTAGAGGTGGTATTTGGTCACATAAGTTCTTAGTGGTGATTTGTGAGATTCTGGTGCACCCATCACCCAAACAGTATATGCTGCGCCATATTTGTAGCCTGTTATCCCCTGCCCCCTCCCACTTTTCCCCTAAGTCCCCAAAGTCCATTGTATCATTCTTATGCCTTTACGTCCTTACAGCTTAGCTCCCACAGATCAGTGAGAATATATGATATTTGCCTTTCCATTCCTGAGTTACATCACTTAGAATACTAGGTTCCAGTCTCATCCAGGTCACTGCAGATGCTGTTAATTCATTCCTTTTTATGGTATATAGTATTCCATCATGTATATATACCACAGTTTCTTTATGCACTCATTGATTTATGGGTGTTTGGGTTGGTTCCACAATTTTGCAGTTGTGAATTGTGCTGCTATAAACATGTGTGTGCAAGTATCTTTTTTGAATAATGACTTATTTTCCTCTGGGTACTCAGTAGTGGGATTGCTGGATCAAACGAATTAGTCAGAAAAAAAAAAAAAAACAGTCCCATCAAAAAGTGGGCTAAGGACATGAATAGATAATTCTCAAAAGAAGATACACAAATGGCCAATAAACATGAAAAAAATCACTAATAATCAGGGAAATGCCAATCAAAACCACCATGTGATACCACCTTACTCCTACAAGAATGGCCATAATAATAAAAAAAAAAAAAATTTAGGTAGATATCGGTGTGGATGCGGTGAACAGGGAACACTTCACCGCTGCTAGAAATGTAAACTAGTACAGCCACTATGGAAAACAGTGTGGAAATTCCTTAAAGAACTAAAAGTACAACAAATTATATTTCTGATGGTGTTAAGTGCTAAGAGAGCATGACATAAGGGACTGGATGGGTCTGGTCATGTTTTTCTGAGGTGGTGACATGAAGAAAAGGAGTATGCTACCTTGAGACATAAGAATGATTTAAGACCCTTTTGGGAAACAAAGCTTTGTGAGTAAATGAAAAGCCACTGGTGGTTTTCAGAAAAGAGTAACTTAATCTGGTAAAGATGGTTTTAACATAAATGAGTGAATATGGTGAGTGCTTCAACCGAAGCATAGAGTTAATAAGACAAATTCGGTTTCATAGTTTGCGGAATAGGGAGTCATTTTTAAAAGATGATTTCCAAAACTGTGTTAACATTTGATACCTTAAGAGATTATGCTCACCAGGCTCTCACCACAACTAAGTCCTGACAAAGAATAAATATTTTGTTAAACACACAGACACACACACACACACACAAACACACACACACACACACACACACACACACTAGGGAAGTCAGGTTTGCAAACAATTTAGTGTATCTAAAAACTGAACAAATGAGTTATCTGTAGTCAGAAAACGTGGCTACTCACATTGCTTTTCTTTTCTTTCCGGGAGGGTTAAATATGATGTTTGCTTTTTTAAAAAAAATTCTTCACAAAAACTTCAATGGCAAATAGAGTCTACAATTTGTCCAAATGATCACATTCAAACTTAAAGGGGCCCAAGGTAAGGTAGTCACCCAAACTCTAAAATTAGAAATGGGTCATGGTTCACTAGGGGAACTCTTGCTAACATAGACATGGAAACATGATATTCATGCACATTTTTTCCCATTTCATTTACTTAACCACTCAGACTTTGGGTATCTTCCCGTAAGTTTGTCTGTGACTCAGTTTTAGTTTCAGATGACTTAATGCTTCCATCTAATCAAGGGAGGGTAACATGATTATTTAACATATCCATGATCCCCAGTTAGGATGCCAGGAAGCTCTAAGAGGGCTAATCTTGTGGCTTGGCATTTTCATCTTTTCTTTTTACTTAAAAAGAAATCATTGCTTACATGTGGCCTGCTAACCAACATTTCCTTCATCCCTTGAGGATATTTCTGGGTCCATTTGCCTTGATAGCTTATAAAAGACTATCCAAGAGCCTAAGTTACCTTGTATAGAGCAAAACTAGACCAGTTCTTACACTTCCTTCTTTGTTTTACCTAGTAAAAATGGTAATGTTTGCAAGGACCAGCCTCATCCACATATATGATCTCATTTTAGTTCTCACAATCACACTGTTATCAAAACAATTTAGGCACTATGGCTTTAATTTTACAGATGCAGAAGTGAAGGAGCACAGAGCTTTGTGTCTGGCCTAAGGTCACTTAGTAAGGCTGGTTGCTGGACTTAAGCCAATGTCTGGGCCCCACAAAATTTAGTACACTCTAACTAATACATCACAATGTTTCTATAGAATACATCCAAAACTTACAATACATGCTTTCCTACCCCCAAATGAGTATTAGACACTTACAGTTTGTTTGTTGTGCTCTTATATTTGTTATCTATTGTCACAATTTGTGTGGTTGATGGAAAATTCCAGAAAATGAAGTGTAAAAGTTGGCAGACATAATAGTCCTTTATCTCTCTAGACCATTACGGAAACATACTCTGTGGTTTATATTTGAAAATGGCACTGAAACAGCATTCAGGACATAAATTTACTGCAATTTCCCTATCCTCTAAAGCTTACATTTCCACATCAATAAAAGTGGGATGATACATGGAAAGGGGTCCCGATAGTTCTGTGCACACATCAGCTAGCTTATATGTGCATTTTCTTGATTTACAACCTTTTTTGTGTGGTTCAGGAAAAAAAAATAGTAAAAACTGTAATAGGTTGAATTGTTCAAAAGGAGGAAGGTGTAAGGGTGGGGATGGAAGTACTACGAGTGGACTTGGGAGTTGCTTACTTATTGAGTTATGAGTGAGGGAATACAGCAAGAAACTAAGCCAGTTGTTATAAAGCTTAGGACCATTGAGGAAGGGAGATGAATGAAGACTTCTAGGAGGTATTACTGCGCATTAGCAAGGTGATTCGTCTTTGCTTTCTCCTCAATGTTCAGTCTCCTTAACAATCCTGTATATACAGAGAAAATCTACATTGCTCTTTAGTGATTTTTAGAGTACACTGTGTTTTGTTTGTAGAGTTGCCAGATTCGACAAATAAAAATACTGGGAAACACAAGAAGTGCCCCTGCAATTAAATCTGATTGCATTCAAGGACATTCAGATAAGCAATGAATGCATTTTTTGTGTCTCGAATATTGTATGTGACATTCTTTTACTAAAAACTGATGTCTGAAATTCACATTTAGTAGGACCTGTATTTCATCTAGCAACTTGGCTAAAAACACAGATAAAAGCAAGACAGTATTTTATTGGCTCACATGCAAATTGAGGGAAAGTTTCCTGGAGGCTTTCAGGCAGCAACAGCTGTTCCCATACTTGTCTCGACATTAGAATCACCTGGAGAACTCCAGATGCCAGTACAGTGGCTCTGGAATTCTGCCAGACTGTGAGATTTTTCAAAGTATTCCAGGTGACTCACGTATAACAGTGAAGAGCTGGTGACTGATGTCCAGCACTTCTTAACTTGCCCTATACATAACAAACATCCAGGGAATTTTTAAGTATATTATGCCTAGATTCCCTCAATAACAATTAAATCAATGTCTACAGGCAAGACATTACTATTACATTGCTATTACTAAAAAGTTTTCAGGCCGGGCGCAGTAACCCCAGCATATCTAGCTGGGATTTAACGCCTGTAATCCCAGCACTTTGAGAGGCCAAGGCGGGCGGATCACAAGGTCCAGAGATCGAGACCATCCTGGCCAACATGGTGAAACCCTGTCTCTACTAAAATACAAAAATTAGCTGGGCGTGGTGGTGTGTGCCTGTAGTCCCAGCTACTTGGGAGGCTGAGGCAGAGGAATTGCTTGAACCTGGGAGGCAGAGGTTGCAGTGGGCCGAGATCATGCCACTGCACTCCAGCCTGGCGCCTGGCAACAGAGACTCTGTCTCAAAAAAAAAAAAAAAGTTTTCAGTAACTTTTAATGTTTCTTCACTAGAGAGCCCTAAATTATAACCTAAAAATGGCATCCCATGGCATTTCCAGCTATAGAAATGTCATTTCTGAATAAATCTCAAAAAGTTTATCTTAATTTTTAAATTATGAAATTAATATTTTTCTTATATATTCAAGCAATGCAGAAAAATCTAAGAAAGAATTAAGAGAGATACACAAACGACAAACAAAAGAAGTCTCTCCCACTTCTTTCCCTTATATATTAGAATGTAGAGCAGATGGTCCTTAATACTTCTTCTGATTTTAAAATACACTGATTCTATTCATTAAAATTTATAGATTAGTACTGACAAATTCTTGGATTAAAAAATGAGCATAGTTTAACAAAAAAAGATCCATGAGCTAGTGCTGCCTCCTATTGCAGCTTGTTTTATTCAGCTTTCTGACGTGTGGAGTGGAGAGAGGCAGCGAAGCTAGATAAATATTTTGTCACTCTACCTGCTGGTCTCTGACCCTCTCCACTTGTCTATTTCTGTAAAATCAAGAGCTTTTAAAATGGTCTGATCTTTAGCTATGTTTGCTTTTATCTATTACAATGAAAAAACTTAAAACTCACGTAAATTATGTTTAGTGATTGTTGGCTAAGACAATTTGAGCGACATGTTTTCAAAACTGTTTAAAAAGATTGCTCCTATAATTTCCCAAAATAAATTTGCCTAAGCCTGATCATAGAAGAGCTGCCACAATTTTAAATGAATGTATTCTATTTAGCCACACTACTAGAAATATTAAACCTTTTAAGAGAATCTGGAACTTAATAATTCATCTCAAAGAGAAAAACATTTAGTTGTAAGTTAGGCATAACAAATAGAAGTAAGTTGCAAATTTCAAAATTATATGGTTATATTTATGTTAAGGAATTTTTCTCTGAATATTTCACTGTAAAAATTATACGCAGTTTAAACAAATAGGTCACTCACATTGCTAGCAACGTTGCAAACTAGATAATCTTAAAATCCTTTTTCCACAGAACATCTAAAGTCTGACTAAAATATAACCAAAACCCACTGAGATGCAAAGTGTAGATTTTGGGAGAGTACAAGATTTTAGCAGAAGTCAAAAATAAAAAATAATTGGAAATTTTCGACTATTAAGCTTAGTCTGACATTTTCTTTGGCTTCTCAAATCAAAGGAGTCACCAATCTTTATTAGCAAGAGGCTTTGATTTTACCCATCACTAGGAGGCTGGAAGTGAGGTCCTGGGCTTAGGCAAGCCTTGGTATTTGAAGAGAGAACCCTCAGTAAAGTGAAAAGTTTCAAAGGGACACATTCCAGTATAAAAAGTGAAATAGAAAAATTGGCAAATAGAAATTAAGAGAAAGCTTGATTATTCTGACCTCTGCTACAGGTAGGGAAAATTTGTTCCCTGAGAATTCATAAACCAGGATTTGTCCACATCATTTAGGGGTTCATATTTGAAATGCATACATGATTTGGGAAACACCAAACTGAAGAAAGAATATAAAAAATGGTCATCAGCTGGTAACACCACTGAGGCACCAGTAGGAGCAAAGGCAAGCCTCTCTGAAGAGAGCTACCCTCAGACAAGACTTCCTTGGAGTCTCTTAGGTTTCCTGGCCATAGTCCTAATCTGAAAATACATGAAGTAGCATGCCACCTTTCTTCTCTATTTCTGTTTCCCTGTATTTCTGGTTAACCGACAAAGAAATCAAATATTACACAGAGATGAAAGAAAAACAGTGCATAAAAATGTAGAGTGTAGCCTCTGGATGTTTGTAGCAGTACTAGGCTGTTTTGGTTATTACAGCTTTGTAGTATAATTTGAAGTCAGGTAATGTAATGCCTCCAGCTTTGTTCTTTTTGCTTGTCATTGCTTGGAGCAGTCAAATAATGGCTTTGTGGATATACAGCTAGCTGAGTGCCCTTGTGCAAGACACCTAAATCTTCATTTTCTACTTTGTAAAATGGGAACTGTTATAGTAACCTATCTCATAGGGTTATAATAATTAAATGGGTTAATATATAGAAAGTCTTTAGGATTGGAAGAGTAGCTGGCTTATAGGAAGCATTAAATAGAGCTGGCTGGTTTTGATCATCTTCATAATTATCATTATTGTTATTATAGGCAGTTGCATTATACCACCTATCTCATGATTAGGTTGTTTTCTCTCCATATGTGCCCCAGATGCATATCCATCTGTCCTAGAATTAAATCTTTGGGTAAAGCCAGCAATTATATATCCCCAAATTACATGGTTTCACAACTGGCTTCTGTGCTGAGAAGCAGTACAAGTAAGAACAGCAAGAAATTTAATGGGCAACTATTAAGCTAGCTAAGGACAATACATGTTTTTTACAATTTGCAATTTACTTTTTTTGTTTAGATATTATGTGCAAAGGCATTCCCATCACCCCAGCTCTAGCACCTTCCCCACCCTCATTCCACACACTAGTGAACACTCACCACCAACCTACTCTGGGCAGCTGGGACACAGGATTAGGACAAATGGCCTCATCAGAGTTCTGGTTGGAGATTGGGCAGCTGTACAAATTTCTTGCATTAACTAAGTTCCACCTCTACTCTCCCTTTTCTAGGAGCTTTCGTGTATCTCACCTTTTATTCAACTCTTTGGTTTTCCTTCATTACAAGTATAGCAGGGAAAGAAACTCCTTATAGCACTTCATCTTCTTGTACGATCACCTCTTGATGAGGTTTGCTCTTCCTCTGAAAAATGAGATTGATGTTTACCTCATTACATAGTTGTGAGAATCCAGTAATACACATTTCCAAACAAAAACACTGTATTTATTTTATGTAATACTTAGCTTTGTGCTACAATTGTTTGTCTACTTGCTTCACCCTTGCTGACAGACATGTTCCTTTCCATCTTCTTGAACACCTAACAGAGTATCATACACATATCTGAATTTTTTTCATTTACTCACCAATATTGATTGAGCATCTTAGATATACCAGACACTGTCCCGTACTCATGGTTTACCATAATAAGCAATCGATCCCAGCTTTGCTTGATGAAATAGCAAAATTAACATTTTCAGTTGTACCCACCGTCTATTCAGCTTGCAGACGTAGCTATAAAGTGCATCTCACTTACCTCCAGCAGGAACAAGAGGTTTCTCTGGGCATATGACACAATCAGCCTGCCTTAACTGTCTCATTAAATGGGACAAAAACATATTATGCAGCACTTGAGATGGTGCTAATGACATGGCCTTTGAGTGTGCCAACATTCCACTGAGCATGTGTTCATTGTTGTCCTCAAAAATGTGTGTTTTGTTTGTTTAAAAGTCTATCTTGCCCACTAGCCTCTGAGTCCCTGAGAGTAGTAATTATGTATTTTTATCTTTGTATTGCTCTCTGCCTTAAGAAATAGCTCAGTGTCTAAATTTAGTAAATGTTCAGTAAAGTGCTGATGGAATGAAACAGTGGAGAGGATGGAAAAGCTTTATGACTAGTATAGTAAATATTTCAAAAATATATTCTCTTACTATATTTTCATTCATTTAGCAGAGACTGAGTAAATACCTACCATGTGCTATTATTAACCATGCTAAGTGTTATCACATAGTATATCAAGCTGCCTCACTTTGGCTACTTTGGAGTATTTCACTCTGCTTTTCTCTGAGATTTACAATTTAAGAGGCCTACAGGAAAATGGGAAGTGCATTCTGTGAAGTTATGGAAAAAGATCCATTTTTAACATTAGCTATTACTAGCCAAATAGCTGAATTTGTTATTAGTTTATTAAATCCAGACTTTTTATGGGTTTCCCAAGCTTGCTTCTTTCAATATATATTAAATCCAACCTTGAACATTGGGGACAAAAAGACTGAAAAGTAGCCAGCTGCTCCAACAGGAACAATATACCATACTCTAGAATCACTCTAATTATTCTATGCCTGCATTTAATTTAATATCTAGTTGGTTAGAAAACCAGGCTATTAAATAAGTCTTGTAACCTGATTTTTGTATAATTTCTGGAAAATCTGGGCATTTAGAAAAAATATTTTAAAATGCATCCTTCACTGATGGTTACAAATTCTAGCAACTTTTCTTAATGATATGCTGACACTGAAATTACACTTGAAATTTAAATGTATTTTAAGAGTGTTAGAAATAAGCATTCACAAATAACTTGGTCATATAAAAAAGCTAGTTAGTACTAAGGAATACTACAGAAATGACTTTAATAGTATTAAATTTATATTAGAATGCAAGGGCCTTGAATAAACCAAATAATCAATAAAAATTACTTCAGAATCCCTGTGAAAAAAGTATTTGAAGATTCAAAGTTAAAAAATAAAACAGTATTTTACTATTAACCATTGTATATTTATTTAAAAGCCACAAACAATATGAAAAAGCATAAAAGCACAAATTTCAGATAATTTGTTTTTTAATCAACCTGACAGTTTTATACAATAAAATATCATTAAGAAAAATAGAAATTATGTGAATTGTATTAAAACTATGACATTCGATAATATTTTATAAAGAGAAAATTTTAACTCTAAGACACATGAATACCATAAATTTTTTAAAAAGAAGTTTAAAATATCACATCTTATGCTAAATATATATAGACATATTTATTATGATGCAGCAGGTCTTGGAATATAGGGATTTAAGCAAGTGAAAAATAAAAAGTTTATATGGTTCAACTTTTTGAATATTGTTTGTCTGATTTTCTATTTAAATATCAGACATTGTCATAGGAAATATATATGTCATAGGAAATATATACGATTGCAATGGCACTTTCAAATATAAGGCAATTAATGTTTTAGAAAGCAGCAACTTTAAAAAAAATGCGAGTAGCAGCTTGTAAAAATGAGCATTACATGAAACTCAGCAAAACAACTTTTACCCTGAAAAGATAAATATAATTTAAAAAACGAAGCACCTCTCTTTCATTGAAAAACGAACTGTAGATTAAGGCCGTCATCTCAGAATAACCCTGTCTAAGAACACTTGGGCTTTCTTTATTTAATAAGGAGCACAAGAAGAATACACCCCATTCTACATACTGACTGTGTTGAAAAAATGCAGTCCATGTGCAGGTAGAAAACTAAAGTGTGACAGAAGGAAATTAATCAGAATGTATTCACTTATACACTATATTTTAATTAGTTAACATAAAAATGTATAATTGCTAAGTTATTATTGGTCCTACATATTACTTACTGGCATACTGTAGATCACAGAGAAACAGAATGTTTGCTGTATTTTTATCATTACTCTGTGTAGATACATATTTATCTATCATGTAAATAAAAAGAAGCAATGCAGTATTAGCTGCGCTGGCATTTGTAGCTTTCACTTTTTATTTTATAAAGCATTAAGTGCTACATGAAATGTCACACTTCCAAATTTAAAAATGTAACTCCAATTCTTCCCATTAGAACAGCACGGTGATCACCAAAGATCTTCTTGAAAAACAACGAAAACAAAAAGAAAGATCTCTTCTGTATCACATCAAATGAGATACAAAGGTGTACTAGGCAATCTTAGAGATTTGGCAACATATTTTACATATAAGGCATCTGTGGCCAAGAGAGGTTATGAATTAAATGTACAAATATATTATGTATAAATGTATTAAATACAAGCTTCATATAATGACACCAATGTCTCTAAGTTGCTCAGCGTTCTTGATTGGCTGTGACCCTGGTCAGCTCCTTTCCTGATAATCTGATTCTGCCTTCATATATAGGCAGCTCCTGATCATCCATGCCAGTGAATGAGAAATCAGGCATGGAATATATAAACCTTAACATTAAAAAAAAATACATGTTTTATTTTGTAATAAAATCGAATTTCCCACTGAAACCTTCAAAAATTTTGCAGAATGAGGTTTTGATACACATGTACAAGTAGTACCTTCTGAGCACAAGAAAACATAATTATTTGTCTGTCTGCCTTTTTGTTTTTAACGATGAAGACTAACATTCTTTTCACATGGAAACAAGTTTGTCTTCAGTATGAGTACATGTTGGTGGAGCAGAAAGGTAGGAAAGGGTTAGAGATTTCTATCCTAGCAACGTTATTTTATCCTAAAACGTTATTTTATCCCAGCAACGTTTGCTCTAAAAAGCCTTATTATTTCACTGCCTATTGATATTAGAACTCTGGGATTCATTTTCCCTTATCTCATGTCTATACTGTTTTAAGTTTACTTTATAGATGTTTACTGGGTTAATGAGTCATAGCTTTTCAGGATGAACTCCTATTCTACCAGAGAGATATTCAATTGAAACACACTTTCAGATTGTGTTCTTGCAAGCATACTCTCAGCTGTCAAAGTGAACACCCAATAAAGTACTCTGCAAAGCAAAGAAATACACTTGCAAATAATTGAGTGTTGACTGTAAGCCCAACCCAACTTTTCAATTTTTCAAAATTAACCATAGTTGATGGCTTGCTGTGTTTCTCTATCTTGAAGGTTGTGGTGGAGATCTTTCAAAATACATGAAGTCCTGAAATTGGAAAAAAAATTATATGTAGATTATAGATAATTAGGTATAATGCATGTAGTATTATCCTTTGTAATTTATTAAGCAATTCCCTGATTCCAGTTAAAATAAATAAATCTAGGGAAATATTTATGAAGAGGACCTATTGTGAAGAGCAGCAGTAACAAATTTGGAATTGTTAGTTTTCCATTTTAAGCACCAAGTAACTGAATTTCAACATTAAAAAAGAGGAAAAACTTCATAATTTGAAAGATTGGACAACCCTAAGGAGCACACTGACAGGCAGAAAGGAAGGAGGGAAAGGACATCTACTTTAGAATTAGTTCATTAAGAAATCATAGGCTAGGCATTTTTAAGTAGTGAGAGTGACAATATGCAATGATGACAGTTATACCCATTGGATACCTAATGTCATCTAAGCACTCTCCTGGTCATTTTACCCATGATAGCTAATATTCATAACCTGGAAAAATATAAGTATTTTTATCTCCATTTTACAGATGAGGAAACAGGCTAACAAGTGTTAAACACTTTATAAAACATGTAAAACTAGTAAGTGGCACAGAGATGAGTTGGCTTAGTTTCAGGGCTTATTCTTTTACTACACTATACTGCTTCTCCACAGAAAGAACAATTCTCTCAGGATAACTCAAAACTAAGAGGCTTACAATGAGGAAGCAAGCACCAAAAATCATGGCTTTCATCTTCACATCCAGGTCTAATGGGAAGTGAATGTCAAAATGGTCAGCATCTGCCATTGCTGACAGCAAGCCATTCCACTTCCGGATAATACTGCCGATGTTGGATACACCATCAAGGGATTTGACCTGGAATGACAAGAATGTGCCTTTATGATGATGGAAATGCACTGAAGCACATGTTTTAGTGTTCTGCTTATCAGTTTACACTGAGATAGCATAAATACAATGCAGAAAAAGACTATGGTAATTATCCAATTTGAAATGAGAAAACAATGGCAAAAAAGGGTTAGGCGCCTTGCAACTGGTTAGTAACTGAGCAGGGTTTATCTTAAAATTCTCAGTTTACTGCTCTTTCTTCATCTTTGAATTAGTTATTAAGGGACCTCTTAAGAGGAAGTATGATTTGAACTGATTATGAAATTCATCTCAATATAGCAAAGGGTGGGAATTGGGAGAGAATCACCTCCAATCTAGGGAAACCTATGAGCAAATCCCAGGAAACAAATACTGTGCACTTCACATCACTTAAGTTTTTGTGAAGCAAATCCACCTTGTCTTCTTAATATATGGCCAGATACCAAAGAACTTCAGTTTCTAAAAGGGGAAAGCTGGCACTTGCCACAGAGAAAATAGCCAAATACTAACTTCTAATGTCACTTGGCAATGGGAATGATCACACACACACTGCCCTAGCAATTTGGCTTATCTACATTGGACTTTTAATAAATAAGCAATGCTTAATGATATAGTGATATAAAATAAGAACTAAGGAAAGTTTCTTGAGTATCATAGGAAACATATGAACAAGAAGTTTTAAAGATGAGTCTTGCCTAATTGCAAGGCATTCAAAAAATATTCTTTAGGAAGCCTGGGAAATATTTCTAGGAATTTCCTGTGTCAGACTTGCAGGGTGAATGAACAAACATTTTGTAGCCAGTGAGACAAAGTCAAAACAAAATAATTTTTCTTTTCATTGAAAAACTGTTATAACTATTATAAGTTTTATCCATGTTATTAGTGTTATCCTATTTCTTGAGGATGCTGGCAAACTTGTATTCTGCAAATAACTATTTTCACAGCCTTAGGAGTACTTGATATGTTCTGTGATATGTTGGGCACTTGCATTACTTACAGCCTATATTCCTAGCCTAGAAGTCTATGGAAAAAAAAAAAAAAAGGTTAATTACATATAGCCAACAATGGAATAAATGAATTAGGTCAAGCTATTTACTCTCAGAACGTTTAATGGTTTAAAGATTTCTTTTTATTTTTATCAAGCACTGAAATCATAAAAAAGGTCTCACTTTGGAAAACTCAAACAATCCACTAACAATAATTTTAAAATCTTTTGATGTCAACTGGTTAATTAACTCTTTCCTCACACTACATTATTCACTCACATGAAAAAAAAAAATCATCTACAACCAGATCTTTCCATGGCCTGTTAGGTATGAGTAGGAAAAATATCAGAAACCTTATTTTTAAATAGTTTTACCTCAAAAACAGAATCAGAACCACAGCCATACGTTGAGCATGGCCCACGCACTCTCATCATATTTTCTTTCTTCTCATTTTGGATGCTGTACACTGCCCTGCACAGGTTCCAGTGTTCTGCAACAAAGCCAAGGGTGACACCAGGAGGACACTGTACCTCCAGCTACAAATAAAACAGTGACAGAAGTTAGGATGCTGCATGCATACATACACACATACATAACCTAGATGTGTCCTTGCTCATTCAAAGAGCAGGGAAATTATGTTGGGAGTGATAGCCTTCCATTTTACCCAGGCCATTCTTCGGGTTACGTATATTTCAGTGAGAAGCTTTAAGGGATGAGATCATGTTTCCCTCTGAGACAAACGGCAGGCTTCATTATGGCTTGTTATATAATGGCCAGTTGTCCAAGCTTAGTGTTCGTAAGCTGCATAAACAGCCTTGCCTCAGAACTTGGAGATGAGGGGAACCTACACATGTATGCTGCCTGCTGTGCTGTCAAAGGTCCTCTGTCTCCTTCCTCGGAGTCTCATTTCTTCTGATTCAATCTATGAAACAGTAACAAGCTGACTTTTTAGATTTGAAGTTGGGTAAAATCAAATCTCTGACATAACAAGTATAACAGAAAACAAAAGAGAAAAGGGGCATTTTGAAAATTGTATATTGTGAAAGAAACAAAATGTGTGTATGGGTTTATAAAGCCACTTTTTTAAAGTTTTAAAATATTGTCCACTATTCTGTTTTTAGCTATTTATCTTCAACAACATTATTTTGTGAATAATTAAGATCTTCCTATTTAATAATAATGAGTCATAAAGATTAAATTATTTGGTAAGAGCCCAAAGTGAAAGTTCTATTGACTATTTCTCTGATGTTACATGTACTTTCATAAGAATTTGGGGAAAGGATTACCCAGGACATGGAACAGGACTACACAGCTTCATAAATTGTTAAATTAAGGTACTATTGTTCATATGCATAAATTCACACCTATATAAAAATATATAAATTTGAGAGTATTATAGAACTATCTCATATAAGTTTAAACCCATGAGATAAAAATCAAAATGTATAAAAATAAATTCCTTAAAAATTTCATACCATAGTATACTAGTGAGCCATAAAAAAAATGAACTAGCGATATATGTAAAAACTTGAATGAATCTCCAGGTAATTACCGTGGGTGAAAAAGACCAATCCTGAAAAGTTATATATGATTCTGTTTAAATAACATTCTTGAAATGACAAGATTGTAAAAATAGAGAACAGATTAGTGATTACTGGGGGTTAAGGATAAAGAGGAGGGAGGAAGTCAGATGTGATAATAAAGGAGGATTTTTGTGATGATAGAACTGTTTGGTATTTGTATTGTGCAGATGGAAATATGAATCTATACAAAGTATAAAACTGCATAAACTGAATGTGTACACACACACACACACACACACACACACACACACACACAAATTAATACAAGTAAAACTGGAGAAATCTGAAGAAAAAAACTGACTAAAGTTATGAGACAAAAGTGTCATAAATTAGACTAGGCTTGCAATTTTTTTTAGGACTAAAGTTCTTGCTCTGTCACCCAGGCTGAAGTGCAGTGGTGCAATCATAGGTCACTGCAGCCACGACATCCTTAGGTAAATGATCCTCCCACCTTAGTCACCCAAGCAGCTGGGACCACAGACGCACATCACCAGGACTGGCTATTTTTTTTTTTATTTCTTTTTTTGTAGAGACGCTATGTTGCCCAACCTCCTAGCTCAAGTGATCCTCCCACCTTAGCCTCTCAAAGTGTTGGAATTATAGGTGTAAACCACCCTGTCCAGCTGTAATTTTGATTTGGTTTACTTTATTCTGGCTTCCTATAATTTCAGAAGGCTGTATTTTTAGGTTTTGATTTAAAAAAACTAATTCACAAATATGAAGATAAATGCCTACTATATCCAGAAGGATCAAGGATAATAAGTAGATATTCACTTCAGATATAAGGCTGTTATCACAGACCATAATAACAAAGAGGTAAGATATCTGGGAACAACAGAAAATATTCATTGAGTACTATATTATTTGCTAGGAAATGTGCGAGGAATTGACTTAATCCTTAAAATGATCATCCTATCTGATAGGTATTATTAATGTTTCCATTTTAGAGGTAAATAAGGCCCAGAGAGTGTTGTAAAAATTAATATTTAGTAAAGATGTTATTTAAAAGATCATTTAAGTATTCCAGTAATCTGATGATGTATTGTACTACCCAGTTTATGTAGAAGAACACTAAGGCTCAAACAGGTTAATTAAATTGTACAGATTTAAGTAGGTGGCATATATAGAATTCAGACTCTGGTTGGTTTCTCTCTAAAACTACTTTTCTTTTCCCTACAGCAGATAACTTTCTTAGAACTGCACAGATAATGAGTAACCACACTGTAACTCAGCACATCTGCATTCTAGTTCCAGCCCTGTCCTTAGTCATTTTGAGCCACTCTTTATCTGTAACAATGTATGGGTTATGATGGGTACCCTAAAGGTATTAACTCTCTTCCAATTCTATAAGTATGTGTTTATATTTAGCATTAATTTATCTGATGATATGTTGGTAGAGTTAGATAAATGCGGTAGGTAAATTTCTAATTAAGCAGACACAACTGATGGAATCATAATTATTGACTACACAACCCCAGTTGTGCCTGATCCACTTATTTAAGCACTAAAAAGCAGTAACCAAAAAGAAAAGATCCTCTATGATTTTCTTTAGGTGAGGTATTATGGTTTCCTCCCTTCCCACTATCTTCTTCCATTCTGGCTGGCAGGGCCAGGGAAAATGCCTCCTGTGTAGTTCTAGAAGGACCACACTGTGCCGTGAAGAGTAGGATTGAAGCAAACTGTGGATAAGATTTCCATTCTCTGACCTCTTGTCTGGCAGATGGGCAACAGAAGCAACAGCAGGTACATCTGAAGGGTCTCTGCATTGTCATGATTTCTCGGCCCATACAATCAGTGACCCGGAGGACGAAGGGCCTTAGTGTCCGATAGGCATTCCTGGTAAAGTCATCTGTGTCTTCAGTTACAATGTAAACCATTTGGTCTGAGTTGTTTTTAATATCATATCTATTATTAGTTTCAAAATGTGTCATCACTAAAAAATAAAATGAGAAAGTCATCTTAAATTAGAAATACTTAAAACGGGCCTCAGAAAGTCCTTGTTTAGGATTTCCTAAGGGCTTAAAGCAAAACAGCTTTCTTAAAGTTTCAGGTGAAATATGTAGAATTGATTAGAGTACCCCAAAAATCATATTATCTAAAAGTATTTAAGCAACTGTGAAAATTTAAAACATTTCTTTTAAGAAGTTCAGTGTAAACGTTAAAAAAATTTTCTACATAAAAGCAAAGATAAAACAATCCTGTTGTTTCAATTCCTGGAGTATCTGAATTCAGAAAACTTAAATTATAAAACCATTAAAAAGAAATTATACATTTGACCATTAATTAATCAGTTCATGAAACATACTGGGAGGAGTAGGATCATTACTTATTATAAACAAGAAACAAACCAAGAAAAGTCAAAGGCCTATGTGGTGGCCAAACGAATGTGCACAGTTGGTTTAATGAGGTTCAGTAATCTTGAAGGATGAGCTGAGAAGAGGCATCATTTTGATTGTGATCTTTTCTACTTACTTCCAAAGCAAGGGTGCTGGACTACGATTCAGCAGATTTGGATTCTATTTCCAGCTCTGCCACTGATTAGCTGACTGTGGTGTCCCTGGCTAACTCATTTAGTCTCTTTACTCATCTTTGAAAGGTAAATGTGGAGTAGGAACAATGGGTAAAGTGGATGCTATCAACCAGATAAAATGTGAGTGCTTTTCAAATATAAGAGTTTACGATTATATGATGTATAGAAGGACAAATTATACAAAATAATTCACTTTATTACTTTCTTGAAGATAGGCTAATAGAGCAGTTTTTTTTTCTTTGAACTATTAAAAAATGATTAATATAAAGAAAGAACTAGATACTGGATAATGCAAATTTCCATCTGATTAAAATACTGCTAGGGACTACAAAAATTGTACATACTTTCCAGAGGCTCAAAATGCTGAAGAACATGTATGTTGTCCAACTGTTGGGATAAAACAAAGCAATTAGAAGACAGAAATAACACAGTTAAAATACCATTGGAAAAGAAACTGATGAAATAGATATTAAAATATATCATTTAATACCAGGATATATTTTTAAGTCAATAGAATAAAAAAAATTACCAACTGAAATTAGCTTATCTGCCTCTGATCAGATGGATATTAGTGGAGCTGTCCATATTAGAAAAACACCTTTTCAACACCACTTTTAAAAAATTGTCTGCTATATCAGAAAACAATATCATCTACTTGCTATAGTAATCACATCAGAAGAAGCTGTGTTTATAGATTGTGTTTATAGATCAGTTCCTACTCACTGGTCTCTTTACATGTCATTCATATCCTGGAGTTGTTTAGAAGTTCAGAACGATTAACATGGACCAGCCATAGAGAAGGGAAGTCTCTCTTAGTGGCTTACAAAATACAAACAAGCCAGGGTGAGCCTCACATGGAGTATCCCATTTTATATTATTTTACAGGTACCTCTAGCAGAGGTTTATACACTCACATTCACTTGATCTACAAATGCTAGGCCCTTCCCCAAGTGCACACTTTAATAAGGGAAGGGTCTATACTGGCAGGAAGCATGTGAATAGGATTAGGGGAAGAGAAAGGAATCATTCTTATATGGCAATCCATGAAAAGGATGGCTGGTATACCATCTGAGAAATTTGTATCTTAAAAATCATTCTAAAGATCAGCAGTTTGATGGGCACATTATCTGTTACATGTGAGAACATTCTAGCAGAAGATAAGAAATCTTCTTGAGGACACACTGATCATATGTGTATTGTTTTACATCATTTCGACCATTAGACAATTCCTAATTCCTAGGTCCAGAACACTGCCTGAAGTGCCATATTTTACCAAACATTAGTTAAATACATTAATTAATGAAAAATATACAAATGCAGTAATAACATGAAATTAAAATAACATAACTAAACATGAATGTTTTATGGTGTGATTAATTACAGGAGGGTACAAAGGGCATAATCAATGCTCAGTTAAGAACTTTTTCTTGTATAAAAACACAATTACATAAGGAGACCTAACCATGCCTCATAAAATACCCAAAGTATCTACTAAAATGGTTTGTAGTCCATTTTAGAAATCTAGGGTATGAAACTCTAGAAGTGAAGAGTAAAAATATTAACTAAAGGCATACTCCAGAAATAATACAAGTCAGGTTCCAGACCAATGCAATAAAGCAAATATTGCAAGAAAGTGAATCACATGAATGTTTTATTTTCTTACTGAACATAAAATTATGTTTACACTAACTACACTATACAGAGTATAAGAGTATAACTATACAGAGTATAAGAGTATAACTATACTATATAGTGCGTAAGAGTATTAAGTCCAAAACAAGTACATATCTTAATTTATAAAAACTCTACTGCTAAAAACTTCTAACAATCATCTGATATTTCAGCTAGTCATAATCCTCTTGCTGGTGGAGGGTCTTGTCTCCATGTTAATGACTGCTAACTCATCAGGGTTGTGATTGCTGAAGCTTGGGTGGCTGTAGCAATTTCTTAACAAAAAATGATGAAGTCTGACATCTGAATTGACTGACTCTTCTCTGCATGAGAGATTTCCCTGTAGCATGCGATGTTCTTTAATAATATTTTACCACAGTAGAACTTCTTTCAAAATTGGAGTCAGTCCTCCTAAAACCTGCCACTGCTTTATCAACTATATTTATGTAGTATTCGAAACCCTTTGTCATTTCAACAATGTTCACAGTATTCTTACCAGGAGTAAATTCCATCTCAAGGAAGCACTTGCTTTGCTTATCCATAAGAAGCAACTGCTCATGTGTTAAAGTTTTATCATCAGTTGCAGCAATTCAGTCACATCTGCAGGTTCCACTTCAAATTCTTGTTCTCTTGCTGTTTCCATCACATCTGAAATTACTTCCTCCACTGAAATCTTGAACCCTTCAAACTCACCCACAAAAGCTGCAACCAACGTCTCCCAAATACCTGTTAATGCTCATATTTTGACCTCTTCCTGTGAATCACGAATGGTGATTCATTCATGATGAACGGCATCTAGAATGGTGAATCCTTTCCACATGGCATCTTACTGAATGGCATCTAGAATGGTGAATCCTTTCCACATGGTTTTCAATTTATTTTGCCCAGGTCCATCTGAGAAATCAATCTATGGAAACTATAGCCTAACAAAATTCATTTTTTAAACAATAAGACTTGTAAATCGAAATTACATTTTGACCCATGGGCTGCAGAACAGATGTTGTGTTAGTAGGCATTAAAACAACATTAATCTCCTTGTGCATCTTCATCAGAGCTCTTGAGTGACCAGATGCATTGTCAGTGAGTAGTAATGTTTTTCAAGACACCCTAACAAAGGAGTTAGTCTGTCCTTTGAAGTTTTGACAGCAGGCATTGACTTCTCCTTTTTAGCTAAGAAAGTCCTAGATGGCATCTTCTACAGAAGGCTCTTTCATCTATATTAAATATCTGTTGTTTAGTATAGTAACCTTCATCAATTATCTTATTATAGCTAGATCTTCTGAAAAACGTACTGCAGCTTCTACAACAGGACTTGCTGCTTCACCTTGCACTTTTATGTTACAAAAGGGCCTTTTTTCCCTTAAATCTTGTGAGCCAACCTCTGCTAGCTTCAAACTTTTTTTTCTGCAGCTTCTGCACCTCAGCCTTCATGGAATTTAAGAGAGGGCTTTGCTCTGAATTATGCTTTGGCTTAAGGAAATGTTGTGACTGATTTAAATAATCTTCTACCTAGACCACTAAAACTTTCTCCATATCAGCAATTAGGCTATTTTACTTTTCCCCATTCATATGTTCATTAGAGTAATATCACTTTCAATTTCCTTCACAAACCTTTCCATTGCATTCACAGCTTGGCTGACTGGTACAAGAAGACTAGTTTTTGGCCTATTTCAACTTTCAACATGCCTTCCTCATTAAGCTAAATCATTTCCAGCTTTTTAAATTTACAGTGAGAGATGTGCAATTGTTTCTTTCACTTGAACACTCAGAGGCCATCACAGGGTTATTAACTGGCCTAATTTCAATATTATTGTGTCCTCCCTGGAACTCAATAATATATGTCTGTTAAGGGGCAGTTATTTGACAAATTGGTAAAGTCACTGGTGAAGCCAAGACTCTGGAAATAATATAATTTGCTAATTTGGATGTTTTAGGACTCTTGGTAATCTTTTTTGTTTGTTTTGTTTTTGTTTTTGTTGTTGTTGTTGTTGTTGTTGTTTTTTGAGACAGTCTTTTTTTGTCACCCAGACTGGAGTGCAGTGGTGCAATCTCAGCTCACTGCAACCTCCACCTCCCGGGTTCAAGCGATTCTCCTGCCTCAGCCTCCCAAGTAGTTGGGACTACAGGCATGTACCACCGCACCCGGCTAATTTTTGTATTTTTAGTAGAGACTGGGTTTCACTGTGTCAGCTAGGATGGTCTCAATCTCCTGACCTCGTGATCCGCCTGCCTTGGCCTCTCAAAGTCCTGAGATTACAGGTGTCAGCCACCATGTCTTCACCTGGCCTACCCTTGGTAATCTTGATAAAGATTCATGTAATCTTTATGTGAGATCTCAAAAAGACTAGGGTAGATAGAGGAAAAAGATTAGCTCTATGACTTGCATTCACACATAAGAAGGTATTTAAGCTAATAACACCACATAGCTTTTATCCACTGGGACTGCCCTACATGTCAAAAACATTAGGCACATTGTGAGCCTTATCTCATTAAAAATTCTCCTAACAACTCGATAAGGTAAGCAGTGATAGTACTATTTTACAGATGATAAAATTCAAGCACCAAGAGTTTAGAAGAGTTTATCAAGGATTTAGAGTTACTAGACAGTAAGATAGAATTAAACAGCAGGTTTGTCTGGGTCCAAAGCTGTGTTTTGTTTAGTTTTTCATTTATTTCTTTAACTCTAAACATTCCTAAAAGGGAAAATTCATAAAATATGTCAAATTAACTTCTGTCAGTGTCATAAAAGAAATTGAGAACAGGTTTTTAATATTTAAATAAAGAAAGCTATACAATTTGAAAAGAGAATTGACTGTAGGGGGTGTTAGATTCCCAAAAACAACTTCTATATTTATCACCAAGTATAGAAATAAGATTTTTCTAAACTTGATAAGCTACAAACGTTTTATCATCTTCTGAAGTAATGTAGATGTTTACTTTAGCACTTCACCTGCTTTGCATTTTGTCAATATTTTGTCCAAATAATAATTTAGGATGAATTTTGGCTTTGAAAAGATCCACATTTTCCTGATCAACTGTATTGACTTTTATGCACCAAACAATATTATACAAATACTTTTCAGCACACAAGATTATCAGGGTCCCTGTCAATATACAGAATTGAAAAGAGAAACAATATAAATCCAGGAAATACTTGGCTATCGACCTGGGGAGATAAGTATTGAATTGGGTAGTTTCTTCTTTATACTGCATTTCAACACTTCCTTTTTCTAAAAACAAAACAAAACAAAAGATTCAGAAGGTTCTATGGTATCTCCAATAAAGTAGTCTCCTTCTTAACCTCAGGGAATACTTTTCAAACCCCCAGTGGATACCTGAAACCACAGATTGTACCAAACCCTGCATATACTATGTGCATATTTTTCCTTCTTTCTTTCTTCACAATTTTATGGAGAGAAGATTAATTTTACTGTAGATCTTAGTAATCTTACCATAGGAATTAAATTATTACTATTAAGTTAAAAACCTTCACCTTTTCATGAAAAGGAAGGCCTTATGGCCACTCTTTGGTCTTTCCTTGACATATCCAAATTGCCAGCATGACTACTCTTGTGCTTTGAAGACATAATTAAGTAAAATAAGAGTTTCTTCAGTGCAAGCACTGTGATACTGTTAAGAGTCACTCTGATAACCAAGATGGCTACTATGTGACTCTGGGTCTGTGTACTATCCGTAACATGTACAGTGTGGATACACTGGACAAAGGAATGATACATGTCCCAGGCAGAACAGAGCAGGACTGTGAAAATCTTCATCATGCTACTCAGAATAAATTTAAAGTTTATGAATGTTTTATTTCTGGAATTTTCCATTGAATGTTTTTGGACCCTGGTTGACCATAGGTAACTGAAACCATAGGAATCAAGGCCACAATAAAACGTGACTACTCTGCTAGCTTTATCTTATTCTCATTACATAAGTTTTTGAGTTTCAGACATGAGTTTTCAAACAAAACTATTTGTATACAAATTTCACATATTAACCTACTTTTTGATCATGACGTCCTGGTGGCTGCATAATATCTATACAGATGTTATTTAGGGAGTAATTGTGTTGTAATAAGGGGGTTTCTGGAACTTAAACTGAAGCAATATTCTCGGTGGAGTCCCTTATTTTTATTTACATTGTATGTTTTTGGGGGTGGCTAGAGTAGCTAATGAAAATGATGGGTAGTGGTAAAAGGCAACAGGCTAAGGCACTCAGTAACTTACCCACTGTGTTGTGTTTTTTCCTCTTTTGTGCTGCTTTTTTTGATGTTAACTCTTTACTTCTAAGCAATAACACAACTATCCTCTATTATAGCTTTTTCTATTCCTATTTATAAATTTCTTTCAAGAAAATATCTTGAATGCGTTGAAGTTCAACGTAAATCCTTATGAAAAGCATACTCAACCCACTATAAACATCCTTGTACTTGCTGCTTCCCCTTCACATTTCTGAAACTGGTATCAGTATTCTTATAGTCTTACAAATGGCAACTGTCATCAGTGACCCATCTCCTTATTCACACTGGTCTGCTTTTCTTCTCTTTTTGTTGGATCCCTACAGTCATATTTTATAAGAAAATAATTTGTATTTTCATGGAGTACCTGAACTAAGTATTCCAGACCAGGAGGGCAGTTAGCCATAGGAGTTGGCCCTGGCATCCATGTTACTGGAACAGGCTGACTTGGCACAGGATATTTTCCAGGCTGATAACAGACAGGATGGGTACCACCAATTGGCTGGTACGAAGGGAAGGTCCCGGGTTGCTGTGGACTGTAGTATGCCATAGGCAAGCCTCCTGGGTAGCCTGCATCTGGAGGGACAGTTGTTCCAGGGGGTCCTGTGTTCAAAAGAAATCAAAGTGTTTTACATTATTAACACTACCAATTAGCATAACTTTTTACATGAAATAGATCACATGACATCCATTTAAAAATAACAATTGTTATTCTATTCTGAAATAAAAAAGATGGAAACAGTATTGCAACACTGCAATGTTTAATCATAAAAGTGCTTGTTTTTACTATGGTTAGAACATTTTCTCTGTAGATTTCCTCCTTGAAGAAAAACATATTCTTACCTAAATATAGGTTAAACTGTAGTTTCTTTCTGAAAATTACTGCTTTTCCTCATACTGTGTGTATAGGCATGTAAATGGGTTTTTTTGCATATCTGCTAAAAAATTATTGGATTTTCAGTCCAGATGACAGTTGAAAGATGTTAGGAGCTGAGAGTCACCTCAGGTTCACATAAGTATACCAAAAGAAACAAGACTAGAATAGTAGAAGCCCAATTTCGGCAGTGCTGTTGAAGCTCCATAAATGGTGTTATATTTCCCTAAGTAAACTCAGTTTCGGGAACTGTAAGTCTATAGGACTAGCGAATCTTCTGTCTTTTGTAATCAAAGAGCAATGCCACACAGCTTTGTAGGGAAGAGATTGACATCTTCTGGAAAATGTAGACAGTTGGGCCGAGCGTTGTGGCTCACGCCTGTAATTCCAGTATTTTGGGAGGCCAAGTGGGTGGATTACCTGAGATCAGGAGTTCTAGATCAGCCTGGCCAACATGGTGAAACCCCATCTCTATTAAAAATACAAAATTAGCCAGGTGTGGTGGCACACACCTGTAATCCCAGCTACTCTAAAGGCTGATGTAGGCGAATTGTTTAGAACCTGGGAGTGGAGGTTACAGTGAGCCGAGATCGCGCCACTGAACTCTAGCCTGGACAACAGAGCAACATTCTGTCTCAACAAAAAAAAATGTAGATAGTACCATAGGCAGGGGTCTTTGAAAAGGTCACTCTTGCAGAATGAAAAATTCACTTAAATGTGATGAGATGGAGATTATGGTCTCTATCAGAGTCACCAAAGAGCTGGGTCCTGGATACCACTTAGATCTGGAAGAAAATCCTTTTAGAGAAAGCTATGTTGACTATGCAAAAAATAAAATAAAAGATAATAAAACTTACTGAGCTCTTTTCATATTCCAGGACTTGCTCTAACAACTTTACAAGAAGTAAATCTTGTAATGTTTACATCAACCCTATATAGTAGATACTATTATTATCCTAATTTACCGAGGAGAAAACTGAGTCATAGGGAGGTTACGCAACTTGGTGAAGGTCATTAGCTGATGTGCCAGGACCAGAATTAGAATTCCAGCATTCTGACTGCAGAAACAGCCTTAAGTACATTATGCTAATATCCTCCCTTGATCAGAGGCAAGGACAAAGGGTACCCCAGAAGTGATTCTATGGAGGGCTTTGGGCTTAGATTCTGGAAGGCTGGAAGGGCATCTCTAGCTAGCAGCTATTTTTAAGTCCTTAAGTTCTACCCCTTCACCTCCATGGGACATTAGTCTGGGGTCAACCAATACTGTGAAAGCCAGTCACCATCAGGAAGGAACACTCCCTGAGAGTTCCAGAAGTTCTTTGGGATGAAAAATAGTGCAAAGAAGGCATTTTCTGTAAGGGAAACTAAACAGAGGCTCAGATTCCCGTGATATGAACATTAGAGGAAGGAGTGGCCTTTGAAGCTGATAAAGTCTAAGACATTTTAGTTACTCATAAAAATGCCACTCTTAATAGTCATGAACTGTGAAATTCTCCCAATTTTATCTGAAAACAAAACCATGAGATAAATCAAAGATTCTTTTATCTGTGAAATATTCCTCAAGCCCATTTCAAGGATCAGCTTCTGTGCTTGCTGCTAGAAACGTAAGACAGAAAGACACAGAAACACATGCCTATATCCAAGGGCAGCAAGTTCTGTGGAAGCTACAAAGATGTATAAGAAAAAGTGAATGGTTGTCTTGAAGCAAGTAATTGGCATAATCATAGGTAGACGCATAGTATGTAAAGGGATTAGATAGGAGGAATACCTAACCTATGCAGAGAAGGTATACTATGATATAAGTGCTAACACACTAGACCTAGCCAGCATCTCCATGATGCGGAAAGGTTTTACAGGCAAACAGATAAGAACAAGCAGGTGCACAGAGGAGGCTCACTACTGCAGGACTAACGGCTGTGAGTGGAGATTTAGCAGAGAAGGCTAGAAAGAGAGGATGGAGTGAAGATTATGAAAGACCTTTAACTTGATGCCAATCAAGTGGAAAGTAAAAGGATTCATTTTACATTTAGAATTCTTTATATATGAGGTCACATTAGGCAGGAAGTCCTTGCAAGGGTCTGAATAGAAGGGTGATTTTGGTAAAAGGAGCAGAGAGTAGAGAAATGGTCATTGACATTTTAAGATACAGCATTGACTTGGAAGTGGATGGGATATGAGAAAAGATTCTCAAGTTTCTGGCTTGGGATCCTGTAGGCCTCTAATGCAGGAGAAGAATAGAGGGGAAAAAATAGAGTTTAGAAGCAAGATAACAAAGGGGCTGGTGATCATTTAGTTTGAGATTCAATGGTTTTTCACAAGAAGCAGTCTATAGGAGGTTGGAAGTGCAAGTTTAGAGACTAGTAGACTGACATATCTGTGAATTTCATCACTTATGTAGTTTATAAGTGATGAAAGAAAAGGAAATCTTCAGTATTAACAAGATCACTTAGGAGGCTGGGCATAGCGGCTCACGCCTGTATTCCCAGTACTTTGGGAGGCCGAGGTGGGCGGATCACGAGGTCAGGAAATCGAGACCATCCTGGCCAACTGGTGAAACCCATCTCTACTAAAATACAAAAAAATTAGACAGGCATGGTGGTGCATGCCTGTAGTCCCGGCTACTTGGGAGGCTGAGGTGGGCAATTGCTTGAACCTGCGAGGCAGAGATTGCAGTGAGCTGAGATTGTGCCACTGTACTCCAGCCTGGCGACAAAGCAAGACTCCATCTCAAAATAAAACAAATAATAATAACAACTTAGGAGGGTATGTAAAAGGAAGGGTGACTGGGAGAGAAGGGAGAAGGAGATGGGGAAGGGCAGGAAGAAACAAGGGAGTAGACCACAGAATTCTGGAAACAGCAGTTTTTAAGGGTAGAGACACAGAGTTTTTAACAGAAACTGAGAGAAGCAGACTAAAGGAAAAATAATGGTAATAGGAAGCAATGCCAAATTAGAGTTAAGTGAGGAAAAAAGTATAATGTATTTGGGAAAAAGTGAAGGAAAGTATGTATTTAAGTTTGTCATGAAGAACATATTTTAATTTTTATAAGAATTGTGTTTACAAGTACTCAGATTAGACTAGAAATCAGATATCCATACCCTCTTTTTTCAACTGTCATTATAGATAACAATACAACTAAAAATCATATAAATTATCTTAAGAATATTAATCGTATCACTTCAATGAGTAAATGATTAATCTACCATGCGCTTTTAATTAAAAAATACCTTATACTATAAAACTTGAAGAAAAAAGAAAGAAAATAAATCAGAAAGAAATAAATAAATCAGAAAGAAAAATTAAATCAGAAAGAAAATTAAAATATATATTTTGAGGCTATCCATATAGAGATTATATGTTCAAAAATTAAATTTATATTTAATTTATTTAAAAATTAAATACATATTTATGTAATTGAACAATTTTTGTTATAAGTATGTAATATCCAGAGATAAAAGAAGCTATGGAAAAAATATGATCAAATTAGGTGTGGGAAATTAGTATATTATGCTTTTTGATGTTTTCATAAGAATTCTGATTGCTTCTGCAGAAAAACAAAGCAAAACAAAACAAAACATGTTTAATTTTGTGTAACTATATCATCTGAAACTTATGTAAATAAAGACCTCTGTTATGGAACTGTCCTACCAATACTGGTGCAAGAAACAATATCTAATAGGATTTGAGTTTTCTTAGTTATTTTGAACATCAGGAAATCATTCCATTTTCTCCTTAAAAAGACTAAATATAACAAAGGTTTCTTTACTAACTATTCTCTTAAGAATAGTGGATAAAATTATTTTTGGTGAGAACATATATGCAAAACTATAATGATAATTTAAATTATGTAAAGAAATTTGGATGAATTCATTAACACTACATATTTCAAGTATAGATTTCAAGATTCTTAATGTGACTCTGACAATTTTTGTCAGTCTTCGTAAGTTTACAGTCCAGCCACTAGGTGGTGGTCAGAGCTAAATTTTGCTATATTTTATAACAAAATTCATTAGTTGTGTGGTCTGCACTGTAATATTTTTACAACTTATCTTGTCATTTAATTTGAAGGATGTAGCCTACTCTCTTGCTGAATTATTGATATAGAAGAATAGACATATGTTTTATCAGATGAGAATATGATGTATAACCAAGGTTTTTCTCAGGAATGGTGAAGTTTCTGTTCTAGTAGAGTCCAGATTTTTGGATTTAGAGTAATCGTTAAATATAAGATAGATCCTGTATATCATGTTTAAAGTCACTGAAGTGACATACAGGGAAACTGTCAGATAAAGCATGACTATAATTTAATAATTTAATTTTTAATACCTTGGACTTAGGAAAGGTTGAGCTATTAATGAAGTATGTTACTATGGACTTTATCCTCATAACGCACATACACATTAGGAAAAGAGAAAAAAGGGAAATCCTGATGCTTTCAGAAAACCCTGTAGGTGCAGAAGCTACCTGAGGTGCATGGATCATATGCCTAGAGCCAAAAAAAAATACAAAACAAACAAACAAATAAAAAAACCTTTGCCATTATCTTGTACATATCAAGGTTTTTTTTCCCCTTTCAGAGCGTAGCACAATGGTTTCTACTTCTAAATATACACTTAAATATATATTTTTTAAAAATATTACTACAGTATATACATCATTACGTAAGTCATTAAAATGTATTTAAATACAATACTAACTGAAACTATTCCTTGGCCAAAAGTAAGGGCATTTAATTTTTAAAATTTTAGACTTAGCCAAATTACTTTCTAATGATCACAATATCTCAAATTTACACTAGCACTGTGTAAGTAGTCATCCTCCCAAGATATCACCAGTAGTGCATTCAGACTTAAAAATATTTGCCAGAAAGATAAGCTCCTTTATCAGCACCCATGGCCATTCAATGCCATTTCTCTGCACATCTGCCATGTGCCTCATGCATGCCTCATACCAGACTTTCATGACCATGTACTTACTACTTTTGCACATATGATTCTTCCTGCTAAGGATAGTCCTTTCCCCCTTTTCTTTGCTTGTGAAATTTTTATCATGACAGCAAAACTTGATCTCCTTAGTCAGGGCTTTCCTCAAATCCCTGGCAAAGCCAGATACTGTCTTCTGTGTCCTTACAATATTCTCTTCATATCCCCATATAGAATGGAGAGAATGTCACCCAATATTTGCACAACTTCCTTCCAAAAGCCTGTAAATCCTATGGCTACAGGAATATATATCTATATATATACACACATATCTACACACACACACATATATAATTATTTTTTGAGACTGAGTCTCACTCTGTTGCCAGGCTGAAGTGCAGTGGCATGATCTCAGCTCACTGCAACCTCCGCCTCCCGGGTTCGAGCGATTCCAACTGACATATAGTAAACTACATAGCAGCCTACCAGCATCCAATATTTATTTACTTATTAAAATCAATCAGTTAATTTGTTAACTTAAAAAGCAATTTATTCATTAGTATGCTTTTTAGGAAGGGAGAATATCCTTTATCAATATTTAACCTACCTGGTACAAAATGAGAACTGTATTCAGGAGGGGCATCAGGCCTTGGATCTGGTGGTTTTGTCTGATTTTCCATTTCACCTGCAGGCTGTTCAGGGGCTGTGGGTACTACACCTTCAGGGAAAGAGAAGGGGCATGACTTACAAAGAAAACAATAATATGATGACAAAATGTATCCATTTTTTTCTTACTGGTATGCATCAAGCAATATAATCAACTGGAAATGTACTTGTAAGATTTCTAATAAAAAGAATTCATCATATATTAGACACTACCTATTAATAAATTTTATGAATTTTCAAACTGAATATAGATTTAAAAATAGAACTAAATAATTATATTATGCCTGTGATCAAAGCAGAGCTTTTATACTAGTGGTTCAACTGCCCCAATGCTCTTACCTACAAAGTAAATTCCTTGCATAACAGCAAAAGTTATTTTTCCCATTACCTCATACAGAGGACACAGGCATTTATAGAGTGAAGTTGATGTTTTTCCTAATTCTTTTTGAAAAGTACTGTCTTAAAAAATTCAAAACATAACACCATGAAGACATAATGGCTTAATAAACAGTGTTGTCACACACAACTCAATTAGCAATAGTTTAGTCTACATCTCCAGTGACTCACATTTTCACTGTATTCTTTTTAAAAGCAATCTAGGTCACAGTAGTGGCTGCAAGGGAGGTAGTAATGTCATTTTCACAATGTTGCGCCTTGTCTTCTTATTGAGATTAGAGAAGTTTCTCTCTGGGCTTACTATAAAATAAGTTCTGAATTTCCTAAACAACTGGTTGACTTTTATCTCCTAGCAAACAAAAATCCCGTAAATGTGGTTCTTCTCTCTTTATGTAAGTTACTAGAAAATACAAGGCTTACTTTCATTCTCCTCTACCAAGGCAGGATGTTGCCAAAGGCTCTCTTTGCAGAACTGCTTTCCTACTCTTGCTTTTTATATTATCTAATTTTCCCCACAAACTTCAAAGATTATTCAGTAGATATGTGCCCCACTGTCAGACCCTTTTTAATCCTTTTTGACAATGATAGGAATGTCTGTATGCATAAATAAATATATATATATGCACATATATACACACACACATACACAGTCTTCAATGTTAAATAAAAAAAAAATTCAAAACAAAATAAAGTCCCCCTTTAAGGAAAATAATCACATAATTCTGTTTGAAAATAAAGCGTATTTAAATTTATTCACAAAAACTTACCCGACATTTTGTAGAATTCCAATTAATCTGAAAAATAAAAAATGTTAATGCCTTTAAAATATATACATAATAAATAGTATTACTACTCAGTGACACAGGTAAGGATTTCTGTAATTTTCTTTAGTCTCCAATTACCTTACGTTCATCCCTTCATTAACTCAACAAATACTTAATGAGTACCTATTATGTATGAGGCATTATTATAGATGTTGAGAATACACCAAACATAAAGCAGACAGACACTCTGCTGCCCACTGTGCAGCAGTTTATATTATAGTAGGACAAGATTTAAAAAAACATGTCAACAAACTAAGTTTAGATAGTACAGTTATGAGGAAAACAATATAACAGTCTTAAGAGAAACATGGATGATTAGTTCTGGGAAAGCCTGTCTCAGGAAGTGGCCTTTGAGCTGTTTGAACTATGAAAAATAAACATCACACTACAATTGTGGGAAGAGAGTTCTAGGAAGATAGGAAATTAGTGCAAAGGTTCAGAGATGGCAGTGAGCTTGGGATATTCAAGGGAGAAAAAGGGAAGTGGTTAGGAGTGACTGGGCCACAGTGAGTGAAGGGAACTGAGGTAAGTCATGGAGACAGAGAGGTCTGATCTCATCAGAAGGTCATGGCAAGGTGTTTGGCATTTCTGGTATTTGGAACTGGGAAGTCTAGAGGATTTTGTCAGTGGAGTGATCAAATCTACTGACACCATACAGTGAGAGCAAGAGTAGAAGCGGGGAGCCGTGAGGCAGGACAACAGCAATCCAGGTGAGAGTGACGCCAGCTTAGACAGGGAGGTGACATTGTGGAGAGTTAGGGGTGGTAAGAGGCATGACACTGTTTGGAAGCAGGGCCTCCAGGAGTTGCTGATGGACTAAGGTAAAGAGAGGAATGGAAGAGGGTTCTGAGTTTTAGCCCAAGGTAACTGAGTTGATGGTGATGCTATTAACACAACTCAAGAGGAGGACAGTAGGGGAATAGTGGGGATGCAGGAGGGTAAGAATTGAAAGTTTAGACTGGAGCATGTGATGTTTAAGAAGAGGCCGGAAGAAGATAAGATAAACATTTAAGTTAAAAATATGTATGGAAACATTATGAGAATAACTCAGAGATGGAGACTAGAAATTGAGATGAGATTTGAATCAAGGAATGAGGATGAAGGTAAAATTTTCTGAATTTAGTCAAGCAAAAAAAAGGCTATTAGAAGGGAATTTCAATATATCTGAATTTCTGAGCTCTGAGTAATGACAACAAGAAGAACATCAACAAAGGCTGTAATTTACTGAATGCTTATCAAGTGTTAGGCAAAGGGCCCAATGCTTTTCATATATAACAACTCTCTAATGTGTAAATAGCCAGCCCTGCTAAAGGCAAGTACTTCTGAATCCTAAGCCTACGTACTTTTCAATACGTGATGATGTTTGTAAGAATGCAGTCATTTGTGTTGTCCAAGTGCAGTAAAAAAGTATCAAGTTACAGTAGATCAAAGAAGCATTCAAACACCAAGACTGAGTCATCAAATGGGCACTGAGCTGACTCAATGAAAATTGCCATGGTATGAGTCAATATGTAGATTCCCAGCTGAAATGATTATCTTGCCAATATGGGCTAAAGTTCAACCAGTCTTGGACCATCTCCACTCACTTCTGGAGCTGGTGTTTGTTGTACAGTGCCTTATGTGTCTCGAAGTTTAAAATATATATATATATATATATATATATATACATAAAATATTTATTTTATTGTATTATGTGAATGTACCAGAATTTATTCAGTCTGAATAAATTCTGGTATATTCACATAATATAATAGTACACTGTAGTGAAAACAAATTACAGCTGTGCCCATTTACAGAGATGAATCTCAAAATTACAACACAACAGAAAAAGCAAAGCATTGAAGAATACATATAGTATGATTCCATGTAAGAATGTTCAGAAGCAGGAATTCTAAACAAAACACTTTTTCTGATAAATATATGGAGGAAAACTTTTAAAAAATGCTAGGGAATTAAAAACACAAAATTTCAGAAAAGGGTTAAATACAAAGAAGTAATGAGGGGCAGCTGTTTAGCAGTGGCCCACAAAGAGCTCTAAGTTCCTGCCAATGTTAAAGTCCTATTAGGGTGGTATGAACAAGGCTAATGTCTTGTTATTAGTTTCTAAAGGGTATGTACATGTTTAAAATACATATTTACACGTATGGCATTATTTCACAATAAACAAGAACCATTTGACAGTTATACGTTGAGTGTGACCTTCTTCTAACTAACGGTCTGTTGTTACTTTCTATGTTAAGTCTGGAGATTGCAAACTATCAAGGAGCCACAGAGAAAGTAATTACAACAGATTATTAAATGCCTTAGTGAAAAGAAGCCAAATGATTTTATCTATCTGTCCACCTATCATCTATCTATCTACAGTGGCAAACTTTTAACAATTGCTGAATTTCAGTGAAGAAATACATTTGAATATTAATTTTTAAATATTTAATTTCAAAATAAAACTTTGAAAAATACAGAATTCTGGACTCCAAACCGGAAGTAGCACCTCTGGGGTGCAGTTCTGGAAATCTTTACTTTTAACACAGTCCCAGGTGATCCTTATGATCAGGCAGGTCTGAGACTAATTCAATGTAAAGAAAAATAATAGTTCTCAACCATGCCAGGCATTATTAAGAGTTCAAATCTAATTCAAATAATTGAATAATAACTTGAAAAAATAAATTAGCAAAATTTTAGAAATTTATATAGTTGTAATACTATATATTTGTTGCTTTGTAATAAGCAACAAATCTCGATGAGTTTAAATAAAAGAAAAATACCTACATATTGCCTCACAAGTTTCAGATACTCAAAAAGTCTGTTTACCTTCCATCTCCTTTGAGCTGCTAGTATTTTTTCTTCTCACCACCCTATATATATTCCCTTTCTTGGACAATTTTATAATATACTTTTAGCCAAGATATTGTGGAAGGCAGGATGATTTCCAATTGGTAGAAGCATGAATGTTGTTAACTTAATCTTCCTTTAATATTCAGTGCATCACTTTATATTTCTCTATCACTTAACAACAACAAAAAGTGCCTTAACTTGAAAAAACTGATTTTTGGCTTTATATCTGACAGAAACCAGATTGGAAAACTGAGCTATGTCTCCAAAACAGGTTGGTATTACAATGTCTGGAGAGCTGTTAATTGCAGAGGCCTTGGCATTTTTGGGGAATGGGCTAGACAGGACAAGGTTGGTGAGATTGAGGTTTGCTGCTTTGCAAAGCAGCCCTGACATCTTAAATTGCATCCTACAGCAAGAGTGCTGTATTTTATTATATGCTATTATATGCGTATCACTTGCTGCACTCAAACAAGCACAGCTGTGTTATATGCCCACTTTTCAATTTCACCAATGTAAACAGTAACAAACTCACAGAACTCAATAAAACCACAAGTTCTAGAACCCATACCAGGGATATTTGAAAATTCAATCACAAAACTCAAAAGGAGGATTAGCTCTTTACATTAGGGTATTTATTGGAAGCTGTCCTGGCCTCTTGACAAGGGAGGCTCTGGGCAAGTGAGAATCTCCAGGCACAAGGCTTGGAAACTGCATATGCATTCCAAAACTCTGGGTCCTGTCTGTATCCAGTGCCTTTAACCCTGAGAGAAGAGAAAAGAAAGCAGGCCAATGAACAATTCCTTCTGGTTTTTAGCAGGGACGACAAAAATATTTCATTCCTGCAAAGACCTACACCAGCTACCATGATATCCCTTTTGCGTTTCTTATATAACTGTTAGGAGATTATATCCTTTGTTCATCTTAATCTTCCCTTAAGAATACCTGGAGAAAAGGAGATTTGTGTGGCTATTAAATATTGTATGCTGGCACACTTTAGACAGTATGGACAGTGGCCCAGAGTGTGGGTTCAAATTTCAGGTCTTTCTCTGATCGCTGTGTAATCTTGAGTTGACTGGTCTGTTCTTAGGTTATCCTGTTTATCACAGGGATGATGATGGTTCGACAAACCTTACACAAATATTGTGAAGACTAAAACAATTACATCTGTATAGCACTTAAAACACTGTCTGCCATATAAAAAAATCCTCAGTAAACTTGGATTATTACAATTTCACTAGTAAGACATACTAACTGATAAAGAGATCAATAATAAATGTGTGTGTTTAACTGTGGAATTAAAAAAAAAAAAAAAGCTGTCTGCCAGTGAGCCACTCAGCATGTACTACTGAGCATCCACATGTAACATTTTACTCTGGGTTCTGAGCTGACACCACTAATTCCCATCTTCTACAACCAGTAAGATTCCAGCAAATGAGGTTTCATGAGCACTGTTTGTAATGAATTTCAAAGTGGAAGGAGTGGGGAGAAAAAAAAATGGAGATATTGCCAAAGGGCTTTTCTCTATTTGTAGCTCCATCAAAGACAAATGAGTTAGGGTACACCTTAAGTGGCTACAAAATTTGCTTTCAGTTCAGGATAGTGACATTAATTATATTATTCAGATGATGGATTTACCTTGTAAACTTTAAAAAGATCAGCAAATTAAGATATTAGTGACATATTCCAAAAAGTAAAAGAATATAGTGTTCATTACATCAACATATAAATATTGAGGTGTTTTTTATAATTTTGTACTATGAAAATTGAATATTTGTCTATATTAGTATAGTACTTCATGGTATAAGATGCAACTGAGCTAACAAGTGTAAGTGATTAGAAGAAATAAAACATTTTATGTATAAGAAAATCTTTTTGAAACTAAATAAAAATATAAATACTATTTAAATGTTTAAATTTTATAATCCCCTTAATATATCACAAGTATCTAGGTTGGGTGAATATAAGCGCTAATAGGTCTAAGAAAATGTATACACCCTGCTTTAAAAAGAAGTATCTACTAGACATTACTAAATGTCTGATGCATTATTTTCATATTTAAAAAGAGGTGCCTACTAGACATTGCTAAATGTCTGATGCATTATTTTCTTCTATCTTCATAGAAAACGATAG